AAGATTACTATAGTGCCTATAATTATAGGAGAAAGTCAGCAGTGTGTTAGGGCTGCAATTATGAGCACTCATTCCGATACCACTCCAGATGTAGCGGAGTTAAAAGTATGAGTTATCAAACTTCTTGTATATTTAAAATTGTTTATGAGATTGGCTAAATGTATTTTTAAATCCGTCATATTTTGACACTTGTCTGCTCTGATTGATTCATTGTTTCATTATTAATGAAATCTTTTTATAGAATTCATTTACAGCCCTCTATGAAGCAAAAAATTAGGCAAATTAAGAAATGGGTTGACCTCGTTATCGCAACTTGGTCTTGTTGTCAGGGCGGCTTAGTAGAACGCATATAGTCAGAAGTCGTCTGCCGTAGTAGTTGTCACGATTCCCAGCATCAGACAATGAAGTTGGTACATTCTCAAACGTTTCGCCGGCATCGTATTCGACATCATGAGTGAGTTTTGCCATTCTCCGCTCCAAGCTACGAACTCGTCAAAGAGACAAGTAAAGCCAATCCCTCGACAGACATTGTGCCGAAAACGGTTACTACATCATTCCTCTTTCTGTGGTGGCCTATCTATCTACTATTTAGTTTTAAGCTTGTGTTAAAGCCTTTAGAAGCTCGTTTTTCTGTTTTGAACTGTTGTGGCCAAATTTGTAAATTTTGTTTCTTAAGTGCTCTAACCGATTTTCATAGTATGATCCTCTGATTCCATAAAATATTTCTTCCTCCCATTCCGCTTTTTTGATTGACGTCAGAAAAAGCAGCAGGTTTCAACACTCGCAATTCAAGTAGGCAGTTCATCTGACCAAAACCAGGTTCCGTCGTCAGGGAATTGTCCCGCTACAAGTCAGACCGACTACGTGGAAGATGAAAAGGACAAGGCTTCGACGGAGGCGAAGAGGGTCGTGATGGGAAGAACGATGTATGCAGTAACGATGACGTCCGAAGCCACCCAGGCCTCTGGCGTAGGCACATTTTAATAAGCGGTTGTTTGATCTTGTTTTCGCAACTTGTTCATATTGGCAGGAAGACGTAGAGAAACGCAGCCAGTCCGGAGTCGATTGTATGCATGATCATTTTCACAGTCGGACCGTGGACGTGGTACATTCTCATACCATTCGCCGGCATCGTAGTCGGCATCGTCTGTGAGTCTCGCCATTCTTAGCACCATAGTACAACTCGTGACCAAACGTGTGCTAAACAGTTGTGGTATCTCCCCTTCTGCCCTACCCTATTCACATTTCCTATATCCTCTTATCACACCTTCACTGTTACAATTTGTACCGTGCTTATTTCGATGTAGTGTGGTGTGCTCCTTTGTGCGACATACATGAAAACCATTCACACTCCACACTGTCGTTCCCACCCCCTTCACACTTGCGCTGGGAATGTTGATCAGAGTCTCCCATATTGTTGCGTAGTCCTCCTTCTCTAGGTCTTATCACAGACTCTCTCTTGACCCGTATAATCCGTCTACTCTCTACCTGATTCACATATTTCACTCGACCCCTGCGACCCCATCTGTATCACTCGAGGCACAGATACCAAGTCTATGAGTTGTCATGCCCTAGTCTCTTGTGTGCCAACCCGCAAATGTAGTGGCACAGCTTGTTTTGATTTGGTTCAATGTTGAACCACAATATTTGTGGGTTGGCACACAAGAGACTAGGGCATGGCAAATCATAGACTTTGTATTTGGGATAGAAAGAGGATAGAAGCAGTGGGAATTAGAGCTAGTCGGTTAATAATAGTAATGATTCAAGGATCATGTTTATGATCAAACACGTCTATTGTTAGCCAAATAGCTTTAGTCTACACCGCGTCTGTCCTCTTTCGATCTGTAATACCATGACTATCACTTCCTAAGTCATAGTCTCTTGTGTGGTTCTACTTGTTTTGATTAGGCTCACTGAAGACGTCTCCTCTTTGCTTCTAATTGTTCCTTTATCGTCACCATGTGATCTGTTTTCCTGAAATTAAGGATCCAGACGTTTTCTTTTTGCTGATCTTCCTGTTGCCTAGTCTTCTCCGAGTTTGTTCAGGAAATATGCAAAGTTTTAGCTGATCTTGCCTTTTTCAAATCTCCTGTTCATTAGATTTCTGTAGGTCAGTATTTCGATGGCCTCTCGGATCTTGCGTTTTCTTGTATCTTCATCACATGCAGCCAAGCTTTCTGTCGATTTACAGTCGATTTCCTGCCCTTTCCGTGCAATGTGGTCCGCTATTTCGGATCTTTCCGTATCCATATTCCTTCAGAGTCTTTGATGTTCCTTGATTCGTAGGCCGATTTTTCTTTCTGATTCACCAAAATACTTCTGCTCACAGTTGCCGCATTTGATGCGATAAACTCCCGAGCAATCGAGTTTGTCCGTCTTCTCGTGTTGCGTCGGCAGACTTGTTAAAAGTGTTTTCTTCTCCTGTATTATCACCCTTATATTCCATTTCCTTAGTAACGGTCGCAATTGATGGCTTTGTTCTGATGAGGGCAGACAAATCCACTTCAGGTCGTCCTCCTGATTCCTGATCTGATATTCATAAAATCCAAGTTGAAATCGGCCTTTTATAGCTCCTACATTTTTTTCTATAAATGCTCTGGGATATCCGTTACTAAGGCAAATCCGTGTCAGTTTGTCTAACTCCTCGTCCCAGAACT